TTTGGTACTACTTACTTGTGTGAGAAAACGTTTTCCAAGATGAAGTACACAAAGAATGTTTACAGATCTCAATTAACCGATGAGCATCTTGAATCTCTTTTGATAATTGGTACAAGTGAAATTGATCCACAACTACAAAGTATTGTCTGTGAAAAATCACAATGACATAAATCTCATTAGTGTTTTTGTTTTACTGTGATTCATTTCAATTATTTGTTATAGTTATTAATATGCTTAAACTTAGATACTTAAGTTTTCTTTGTCATTATTTCTGTCGTTAAGTTTTACCTTGCAACTAAATAAAACCGAGTAATTATCATTCTGTGTTTTCTTCTTCAACTTATCACAGCAAAAGTAACAACAATTAGGTAATCATTGGCTGTCGCGGGCCAGATTGATGACAGTAAATCATTGGCTGTCGCGGGCCGGATTGATGACACTGGCGGGCCGGATTTTGCCCGCGGGCCGTAGTTTGGAGACCCCTGCTCTAACCTATTACCTACTCGTCTACCTAAATAATTAATCTACCTGAAAAGGTCAGGTATGAATTCATTAACTATATCAATACATTTTCCGAAAGTATACCTGTAAATACACCTAAATATTTTTACCTGGAAATGAACAGATTCAATAATGGCGAATTATTCAATTCAGTATTATCGTTCATAACGTTCATAACATATTTCCATACTCTCCAACAGGTTAAGTTTCAAACCGTTCTTCTGGAAATGGAGGGGTTTGTAATCATGGGTGAACTCATGTCCCTCCGAGATCAAATGACTGGCATATGTGGAATTTATTTTTCCATTCTGAAAACTATATTTGTGTTACTTTATCTGGGCTGTGAACGTTCTTACAGTTTGACCTATATAAAACATCGGACATGTCCCACACCATAATTTATACACTGCTGATTTTTCTGAAACTGAACTTTTATCTTTGTTATTCTTAATGTGCATGNGAAAAAAGTTTTGAAAATGCTTATCAAATATTCTTTTTATTCAGAGGCCTTTGGAGAAACCTGACGGTCTGGATGTTTCAGACCAATCTAAAGTCCATCCTCAACATCTGTGCCAAAAATGCAAAGAGCTTGGATATTACTGTAGGAGAGTGCAATGAGGGTATACATTTTTTGTTGAGTCTTTTATCGTTGCTTTAATATTTGTTTCTGAACTTATTATTTTATATTGATTACCTAGTATTATATTTCAGAAAATTATGTTTTATATTTGATTATTTTTCACATTTATTTACACTTTTTATTTTTTTACTGGTATTGTTTAATGTACTTAAATCATATACATGTTATTCTAAATATGTTATAAATATTAATGTTTATTTTCAAATTGTGTTTTTCTCATATTCTGTACCAACAATATGAACTGTTCTCATTTTCTTTCAAATATACAGGCATTCTCCAAATAACGATGACAATTCACACATCTATAATATGTTCAGCATTTTTCACCTCAAATATCATCATCTCAGTTCTAGACTCATTCAAGAGAAAACTGTGCGTTCTGATAAGTTAATGATATAATCAAGATCAGAATTTATTTCTTCACTGACTATTTTCAACTCAGATGAGCATGAAGATGCATAGAGTTGGGTATCATCGGAATATTGATGAATCTTACAGAATTCGAAATATTTTGCCATATAAATCGATAACAGCAAAGGTCCAAAGGTCGAACACCTTTCAGATAACTTATCACAACACTTCCAAAATACAAATCATGAAATTATAAAACGACAACAAAAATTAATTGGCGCTCCGGGGCGACTTCATTAATTCCAGTGGCGCATTTGCTTTTTCAACTGCAGGAAAACCCGGAAAAACTTGCAGAACCACATCATCTGAAGATCTTGATCTGCCAATGTCCTTTCTCTCATTAAACAAAATATAGGGTGTCTCCAGAGGCTCCAATAAATTCAATACATCGCCAGAACACTTCGTGACACATCGTCAAACTTAAACCAGTCCGTTTCGTCTTTGACCAAAGCGTAATAATGATCAAATTCAACGCCAGAACCACAGTATACAATGACTGCATGAATATTATAATCGTGGTCTGCTAGATTGAAGTGTTGATCTATTTCTAACCTTCGTAAGAGTTTGGTGCTTACGTCAGAGGTTGAGTCATGTTTGAAGATCAACAGTGTTATTATTAGATTGACTGGTGCCTCAGATATACTTATTTCCTCATAAGAGTCAGTTAGTTTGGCGCATGTTTGGCAATACAGTCGATCATCACCTGTTAAAAGTTCCATTTTCAGATGATTCAACAATAAGCTTTGCACGGACTGGTTATTAGTAATATTAGCAAACGCTAGTTGAAGTTCCAGAAATTGAACATTTACTACAAAGTAAACAAGTGAGGATTTTTCCAGCAAAAGATAAACTTGACTATCCACTCACCCAGACCAAAAAAAAAGAAGCTTTGTACATTTTAAATCATGGTATCAAATGCTTTGCTATAGTCTTAACAAAATAAATACTGTACTTTGCTTTTGATCTCAAGCTTTGAAAATGTCATCAATTACTTTAGCAAATGCAGTTGTTGTACCTTATCTCGGTCGAAATTCTGATTGAGCAGCAGATAATACCTTTTTATTTTCGAGAACGAACTAACTCTCTACAATTTTCTCAATAATTTTTGAAATGGTAGGTGAAATATTCTTAGGATTATTCGTTTTAGAAATAAGATGAACATTCTCAAATTAATTCCATCACTACTGACAGCATTAGTTTTTATATTCCGAGCAATACTTTTTATTTCCTCAGCACTAACAGTGGTGAAACTGAGATTTATATCACTGTCCGACACTGAATACTTATTTAGCAAGTGCATGTGAAGGGACACTATTGTAAGTAAATCTCATAATACAACTCATTATAAAAGATAATGAAGATATACATGTAATGTATATACAATCCTTTTTAAAAATACTTACTTTGAAAAATTTTCAAGTCATCAAAATATGATAGGGTGGAGCACTGCAAACCAGGGTGAGGTCGTCGATGAACAAGAGGAATGAAAGAGGCCCAAGATTGGAACCTCGTGGCACCCCTGAAGTTGGTGTCATGATAAAAGGAGAATACTTTTGAAATTCAACATATTTATCGCCTATCAAAAATATATAACTCAGATACTAACAGTAGTTAAGGAGAAAATCTTAAAGCTTCGCAATGAAAGCATTGAAAAATATCTTCAAATCTTCATCATCCCTTCTGTTACGGCTTGTTTGAAGATCAGTAAGAGAATGTAGTTGTGGATAATTGTATGTGTAGTTATAATCTCATAGGCATGATTTGAGGAGTATTGGATACCATTGCTATCTTGTGAAGCCTGAAATTTGTCACTGTTTTTTTAATGTATGTGACAGTGTATTGATGATTTTCCAAGTTAGATTTGGCCCATGTTACCGATACATGCTACTTTCATGAAGTGAAAGAGGGGTATTTTTAGGAGAGATTAGAAAAATGCTTTTAGCTTCTCCATTTTCATACAAAAAATCTGGGAAATTTCCGAAGAAAGGAAGAAAAAAGCAAAATGAACTCTGTACAAAAATATCCCTCTTTCAAACAAGACTCCTACGGTTGGGATTAAATCAATGAGCGAATGAATGTCTTCGCAAAGTGTCATCTTGATATGAGTACACTTTTGTTTGAAGGTGATTAACAATGTTTCGTGATGAATTTCACTAGTTCGGACTTCCATTGTCTACTATATAAAATGATTTGAAATCCCTAGTGAAATTCATGAGTACACTTGTCTCCTTCAGTGACATGAAGTCATAATGTCATGTTTCAAATGTTTGCTTTATTTTGTAATGTTATCCAAATAGTTGCTGATGAGGTAATAAGACAGGTGTCTTTTTCCGAAACTTCGAAGTACACCATTATGGAGGATAGTGCTCCATGTAAGTGAAATTTTATACTGTCACTCTTTCATATAATATAGTGAATGATGTCTGTTTCAATTCCATAACGAATATTTGGAATACAAACTGAATAGAAAACATTAATTATCATATAATTCACTGTTCTTATGAAAGGTTGTTGCAAAATTACTTCTTCTTTCGTGTAATTCGATGTTCATGTGAAAGTACTTGCTTTGGAAGGGTTTTTTCTTCCAGTTTGTATTTGAAAGTAACTTCTATGCATGATCTACACATCTCTATAAATAGTTTATTTTGAACATATCTATTAAAAATAGAAATAAAAATGGTAAATTCAATAAAAAAAATATATTCTTTCTTAACTTACACTACTCGATACACTAATGTTACTATCACTAATATTGTTGGCATTATTACTGAGGAATGCATCAGACTTGTAAACGGCCAGCCCAATCTTCACCAACTCTTCTCCTATATCAATATCGTGCTCATCCAATTCGTATAAATCAATACCAGGTACTGGAGAACCCTCACGTTTTGCTCTAGTTTTCTCCCGAACACTGTAACCATTCATCTTGGCTGATAATTTCTTCCATTGCGCCACGTGAGTCCATTCTTCGAACTTATCTTTGGCTTCTTCCGACCATTCGTCTCCATTAGGCTCTGAAAATAAACATTGTAGAGTATAAAAATCGATTTTCTTTTTTTGAATCTTTTGGTAAGCATGACCAAACGCTAGACAAATTCAAACGTGTATTTTATTTTAATATTTATTGATTTATATACAATACAAAAGTACAAACAGAACTAAAAAATGGGAACAGGGTTATGACTTACAGAAGTAAGATGTGAAATTTTGTGAGATGTAAAGCGTGACAGTAATGACCTCTATGACTGAGGTAATCTTTGTGAATCATTTCGTTTGTTGAGGCAGTTGGGATGCTTTTCAATTTCAATAGCTTCGCAGATTATCCTCACCCCTGGAGAGCTTTATCGGTGACAATGGTTTTCGAAGCTCATTGTGTGGACTGTTTTGTGATGATATTTTAAGAGGGATGAGGCTGGATTTGGTTTACAGCCCAGCAGTTGTTCTTAGGCTCTGTTGGAGACTCTTCTGTTAGTCTGGCCAATGTAAGTTCTGGGGTGATCGTAGAAATGTGAAAATTTTATTGTTGGCTATGGATACTGTTCTTATATCATGCTTATTGAGAATTTGGATCACTTTGTCAGTAACTCCATGATATAAGAAAGAAACTTTTAGGTGGTCCTTCTGTTAATCTGGTTTATTGGGTTGTCGGGTGCAGGTTTGCCAAAGTTGGATGGATCTTTGGATTTGAGATAGTCATTTTGACGAAGTACGGATTCGAGTTTGTCTACTTCCTTGGATCGACTGTGGCTGCCAGAGAGTCTGATATCAGAGAATTCAGAACAAAATTTAATTTGGCAGAATGGTGATGGGACTTGGCATTGACGTAGCGGATAGTATGAGTTGGTTTTTAGTAAACCGTATGTGAGAAGGATACATCATTATTTCAGTAACAAGTACTACTATATTATTTTGTTTCAATGCATAGGTGAAGTAAAACTATAGCTAACGCTTACCAACTTTCGCAAGGAAACACTCAATGGCTTGGAAATGTAGTCTGAGAAAATCAGTTCGTAGTTCATATGCGTCATTCCAGGGTACAATATCAGTATCTCCATAATCAACATAGTAAAGTTCTGCTTGTTTCATAGAAGGATCCTCATCCAAGACATTAAGTACTTCAGCCCTATACCTAATGAAATATTTTATAGGAATATAGTGTCAGTTTCGAAAAACAAGTTGAACATCAAGAATATTATGAAAATTTAGTACTGTTTTGTAGAAACTATGTAAAAACAATTCTTTCCGTTATTGTTCGTAAATGATAAGAAGCAGATGAAGTTTCAGAATGATACGAAGACAAATTATTTCCAGCACTCAATTCAAATAACTAATAACTCATTGTTGAACCTTCAAGTCATCTGCTTGATCTAAATTGATAAATGGCATCTGTCTCGTAGATGGTAGATCAATGTATTTATGATTTATCTATTTATTTGAATATGCCAAAGCTATTTATAGTTTTATTGTCAATTTGTTGTGTTTGTGTCAGAAACTACTGTGTAGAAACGTATCGCTATTGCTTTCATTTTGGATTTCGCCATCTTTTAGAAGTTAGATGTTTTCCCGAATTGAAAAGGTTGGTTCGTGAAATAAAAATCATAAGTGGTATTATTATGGTTGTACTAGGCTGAATCATTGATTTGAAAAATGTATTCAATCAAGAGTATTGCCATCATTTCTATTTCCATTGAAAAAACTGTATTGCAATATGACCATTTTTATGTGGTAATGAAATTAGGTAAATATCTCACCATTTATTATCATACTGAAAAGAAGCAGCAACAAGATCACCTTTCTTGATATCTTTTAATACATGCAAATTTCGATTTTCTTCTATTCCATAATATTCAGTCATTTCTTCCACCAAGCAGTCCAATTCAGTGGCTTTGGGGCCGACTATTTGAACCCAAAACCTCGAAGGGTCCACCATAGCAGAAACATATACCTCAAATGGGGTATCTGGTTGCCCTAGAAAATAATAGATATGAGGATAATTCAATTCAATGAAGTCAATGTTCTCAGTAAGATTCATGTAAAACTTGTGATCTTTTACATTTTTTGATTTATTATAATTATGATATGTTTTTCTTTATAATTGTTGTATTAACCAAGAAACCCTGGAGTTTTCACTGATCCATTTTTGTTTCACTATCAAATCGATTAAACAGATTAACACAACTTCATACATACATTGTGCAAGAATCAAATTCTGCAACATTGGTTGCATCTCGGAAAAAAAAATACCTGTTTCCTAGAAGTAATATTGTGTTGTAATTGTTTTTCAAGACGAAGATCAAATTTCCTCTTGAAGGTGATCACTAGGTGATAGAAACAGGTCTCGATGTGTTAAAATAACGGTTTTGTGTTATGAACTCCAATAAAATTCATCTATCTAATTGTCCAACTGATGAAACTGCTGTATAGCAAAACAAGTCTTAAATAAAATTTATTGTGAAAATTATATAATTGTTATCATCGATTAGAAAACTTGTAAATGAAGGCTGAGGAGATAGATCAATTGGAAAAACTGCAGTTTGGAACAATTATAACTGACCCCACATATTACATACCAACCCCCAAAATGCAGAAGTAAAGAAATCAGTGTCCGTTATATTTTCTGCTTTTGTAGTCTGTAAATATGAAGGAATGAAGGTACTATTAGTTCCGCAATGTGGTTAACAAAATTCAACTGTATTTCTAATAAATCTAAGAGAGCCCTGAAAGTCCGAACCTAGATAGCAATGAGGGACCGTGAACAATTCCATTGATAATAATATTGAAAAATATCTTCAAATCTTCATCATCCCTTCTGTTACGGCTTGTTTGAAGATCAGTAAGAGAATGTAGTTGTGGATAATTGTATGTGTAGTTCTCAGATTTAAATGCAACCAATCTTATTAATTTTCTCTAAACTTGTTCCAACATATGGATGTGGCTTGCATATGATGGGTTCCAAATGGAAGATACATATTCAAGATGAGTTCTTACCAGAGAGCAATACAGAATTAATAAGCATTTGATATCAGTGAAGTCTGGGGTGCATCTTTTTAGGAAGACATGAATTTTGAGAAAATTATCAACAGTGGCTGATATGTGGGGCTGAAACGACAGTGAGTTGTCCAAAAGTAAACCCAAGTCTTTTAGTTCTGTAACATTATTGAGTGGGACTTGATTTATAGAATAAGAGAATGCTACAGGAATATGTTTGCTGCTAAAAATAATTCCATTATTTTTAGCAGCAGTTTCATACCGTTGACAAAACACCAAACAGAAAGTTGGTTCAGTTCGATCTGGAGTTCAATACAGCCATCTTGTGAATCGATTTTTTTTGTAAACTTTTAAATCACCTGTAAAGTAAAGAATGTCGTCCGTGAAATGTTTTTCACAAAATATTTCAATAGAGAGGGGATCCAACTGATCACTTCAGGATCTTTCTATCTACCTAGATGCTAACCTTTAACACTACAATATCGAAATTCTTCATTAAATCATGAAAGATTATAAATATCTTTTGTTTCAAAATATGTTTGCCATGCAGTTCAAAATACTATTATTATTAAATATCACCACCTTAAATTCTTCAAATAATAACTGAGGTTTATTTGTAGAGTTATTGTCATTTAAGGCAAATTAAAAAAATATATATTAAAAATCCATCATACCGGGAATTGGGGATATCCTTTCAACTTTGGGACTTTCCACTCGGTTTACTTTTTCTGGAGATCTTGGAGGCAATCGAGGTTCTCTCAATGCCAAAGACTCTTGAAGCTTTTGCTGTAAGTTTACTGCTTTGGCAACGACATCTTCTATAAGAGATTTCGCCACATTAATCTGTTCTCTAGTACCTGTAATATGAATTATCAGTTAATTTTAAAATAGATTAATACTGTAAGCTATAAAAATGTCCACAATTTTTTGCAGATTACCGAAAAATATTCATAAATATTCATACATTTGAAATGTTCAATGTAGGTTGACAGGTTAGAGAAGTTTTCATACTCGAAAATAGCTTTGAAACAAAATGCATTGTCTGTTAGTCTTACCTGTCATATATAAGTTTTGTCAGCATCACTTAGGCTTTTTATTATAGGCTTATAATAATAGAAATACCAAACTTGAATAGAGGCTCTGTAGTTTTTGAACTATCAAAGAAGGTTCTGAAGAAGGGGGCATAAATGTACCAGATCATACTTGATATCACAATATTATGGTGTAAAGAAACTTTATGTAATCTACACGACATTATAAGCTCGGCTATAAAAAAATAAAAAACTGATGCAACTCCAATCTGCTGTCGTTTATTTACAAATCAAACTTAATATCATTCCACTGCTTTATTGACAGCTATTACCAACAAAGGACGCAGACAAGATGATTGAAAACAGACGTAGTTCTGAATTTTTTGGGGTAATAATTGACAATAAACTTAAATTCGCCGATAACATTGTAACCCTCGATAAAAAAGTTGGCCCAAGAGTGTTTGCAGCAAGAATAATTTATAAGCAACTTGGTTCTAATTGATTCTCATTTGAGGTATGGAATTTTCTTCTGGGGAGTATGCAAAACTCATTTGCAGACTGTTTTCATTATACAGAAAAGAGCTATAAGTTTCATGTGCAATGTCAAAGGTTGAGACTCCTGCAAATCCTTGTTTGAACTACATTGAATTTTTACAGTTTTTGAAATTTTTAATTTAGAAACAGTCTGTTTTATTGACAAACATAAACTTCGTCAAGCTAATAACCTAAGATTATCCATACCGGACTTTACCCTAATCAAAGACCCATTATAGTATAATGGTCTTAAGATGTTCGATCATTTACCTGGCCATATTAAAATTTTAGAGGATAGCTGTAAATTTCCATAAAAGATTTATTATATGTGGTAGTCCCTATTATAGTTTAGAAGAGTTCTGTGAGAACAGTTTTGTCTAATTTATTTTTAATGTATAGACAAAGTATGGTATATTGCATTTTTAATATTTCAAACTTTCCTGAAATTGTTTCTTAAATGTATAATATATCTCTTCAGTATCCGTATGTATTGTATAAGTTTGAATAAAACTGTTTTTTGGATGGAAAAGTGATGACTGCTTAATTGATTATCTTCAAACATGAAGACCATTACAGGAGTGTACTACACATCGATACTTGACAGATTAAAGGCATAAATTGAGAATAAACGATAACATTTACAGAAACAATTCGTGTTTCAACAAGACAATATGTCTTACACCTCAGCAGTTTTCTTGAAAAATGCACAAATTATTATTCGAACTTGTTGAGTACCCTCTTTAATCACATATCTTTTCCAAGCGACTTCTTTTTGCTCCCTAATCTGAAAATTGCATTCGGAGAACAGATATTTTTGTCAAATGAGTAGGCCATCACCTTCGTAAATAATTATTTTGCAGAGACACATTGTATTTATCAAACAGATTAAAGAGATGGGTACATCGCTGAAAGGAGTGTGTTAAATTACAAAAAAATACTATGTAGAAAAAGAAATTTAAAGAAACTTTTCAAACCCCTCTCTCATGCATTAGCAGCTGTTGCTTGGAAACCAGAAGATTTCTGTATTGAATATTTATTTTGTAAAATAAATTGAGAATAAACGACAACATTGTAAGCATCTATTGTTTATGTAAATATTAATAAATTTTGTGAAATTCTAACCAGAGGTAATTTGAAACGAAAAAAAGGTATTACCTTTGATGGTTATTCTTCTGGAAGGTAGGCTTCTATCTTCATCATTAATTTTTATCATGGCCCCAGAAAAGCTCTTGATTTCAGAAATCATCACTCCGCCCCGTCCAATTACATTTCCGACAGAACTCCCAACCACCCATATATCTTCACTTTCTATTAGTGGTTGATTATTAATGAAGTCCTTAATTAAATTTTCTGCAGTACAGCAATCCTCTGTTGTTCCTCTGATGAAACAAATCACTTCTTCACATCCTTCCTCTTCTTCATCAAAATTTATTTTGGTATGAGATCGGTCTTCAATATCCTTCAGGATTTTTCCATTTCTCCCAATCAAAATACGAAGTTTTCCTATTGGTACTTTGAGTTCCACAGTTCGAAAGTTTGATGCTCGAGAAAACGTATTTTGGGGGTCATTGTCATCTTCATCTTTTTTATGAAGGTAAATGTAAAAGGCATATCCAGACAGCCCAATAGCTGTTACACCAAAAAAAATTGATAGGGATTTATAGATTGACCTGTTGGAAACATGCAGAAAAATTAGGTAAATTCAATCACAGAAACAATCTATGAACATTTAAAATGTGTGAGTTTCCTAATATCAAAAATAACAAGAAACAATTTATTCTGATTGAACATCATATTTATACCTTCTTCTGATCAACAGGTGTTTCTGAAACTCATTTATTTCTGAAAGTCCTTCAATATCAGGAATAGAACATGATGTCATATTTCTCTAACAAATTTTTTATATTTGATCTGGAATTAACACTCACAGATTACATAAGAGTATTTAAAGAAATCATATTTGACTTTCATATCGACAATACCTGAACACAGACTTTAATTGCAATGTCTGTGTACCAGAAGTACTACTCAATTATTTGAAATGCATGTTTAATACAGTCAAGATTTGCCTTGACATTCTATGTTTATTTTTTTTTCTAATTTTTTTAAGGGATAAAACAAGAGATTCACTTAAAAAATATAAGATACAAATACAATTACTTACCCCATACTTTTTTGTTCAGATAATCCAGTCCAATATAAACATTTTTCAAATCAAAAGAGGTAGAGAAAAAAGGTTCTCAAACTAACGTGACCGAAACTTTAAAAACCAAGTAGCATCAATACCTCAAAATTTGAAATCCAACTGAATAATTCACATAAACATATGTATTATAACCAATATTTCCATTTAAAGGTGCCTCTTCTATTCAAAACGTAAGTGTAATTTGTCATTTGAGGTTTGAGGTTGAGGACAGTTCTATTATTAGGGAATGATCCGATAATGATCAATAACTAACCGGTACTTTACGCAACCGGCATCTGGAAATTTTAATTCTACCACTTTTTCAGGAATATGACAGGCGGTTACTTTTAGACTACATTTTTTAGTTTCTTTTGTACTTCGGACCAGACAATTTCTGATGGATAGCTTTGAATGAATCAAAAGATGAATCCATCGAATCAATCACAAACCACTTACTTTGTGGAATCAATCGGTGAACTCATCAGCGCTGTCAGACGTACGATGATTAATTACAGTTCTCATAGGATTTATTCTATGTGGACGTAGGATAATCATCGTTCTCATAGGATTTATACTCAGTGTATGGTATACGATACTACTACATGTACGGTAATTGAAAATTTCTCCATTTTTGTATAGTTGAATATTGGTCAATGGAGTAACGATTCAATGGGTAGACCATGTAACCGTAAAAATAAATCTGTGCGACAGCCAAACTACGGACGATCACACCCAATCCAGATAAAGTAAAGAAAAAACGAAACATGAAGCGCTAGTGGTAGAGTTTTCTCTATATTTTTGACTATTGCTAGTGGTAGGATTCGTATTGTCCTGACCACGGACCAGGACATTTATTAGCAGAACAAAACAGAAGACATAGGAACTAAAAGTATTCCTAATCATCACGCCTCAATGGAAGCAAAAGCCATTAACATAGAGAGAGAGAGGGAAGTAAGGACACCTTTATGAGGTTTATATAGTTACATCACAGTATACTTCTCAGAGTGATATTGTCTTTTATTACTCTGAGGTTACTGTGGTTACATTGACAAATGACAGTATCAAAAAACCGAGGTCAATTTATGGAAGAAAGAAATTAATTCAAATAAAAAAGATTGCATGAAATATATTCATTTATTCAGTATATTATGATTATAAGATGATTAATTAAACAGGAAATGTATTATTTGGAAGATATTATTTGTATTATTTGAAGGACTCAATACTTCTTACTGTTTTCTGGGTTTATAACACTTCAGCAGATTCTCTGTTGATTAAGCTTTGGTTATTTTTCAGGTTGTGAAAGGTTATACGGTTATACCAAAAAAAACGTTAAAAGAACTGAAAAAATCTCATAATCTCGAATATTCTTAATTGTTCAATATACGTTGATTATTTAGGTACACACTTATGATTTTACATTATTACATTTAGGAAAAAACATATAAATACAAAACTAATTAACATTATTCACAATGATTGTAAATCATTTTGCAGCTCTCTCTTCATTTTTTCCAATATCTTAATTCTCTGACTCACTGTTGTTGATCTCTCTTCTAAATCATCAGAAATTCTTCTCGTAAGATTTGAAACAATTTGAACCAGTTTGATAGTTTTCAAAGTATCATTATGAAGGATTGCTAGTTCGTCCTGTTCAGCATTACTCTCACATGTTTCCTCTTCCTCTCTCACAAGTATATCAGGAAGACCGGCAATTTCTAGAAATGATAGACGAACTCGTTTTGAAGATTGAAGCAGATTTTTTTTAATTACCTCTCAAAGTATGAAGTCGTAAAGGGACACTTTGAATAACGAGTTCAACGTCCTTCCTCAGGTGTCCCGATGCTTGAAAGCAGGTAAGATGTATTTTATTCTTCTTCGTTGCTGAATCAATGTTGAAGACTGAAAATATCAAACCTATAAAATAAATGCTCATCACTTGGTATCCAGCTTGGGTGTTCACATCTACAAAATATTCAAATTATTTTTGAACGAACTGGTTTTCAATCAGCTTTACCAATTCCACTGGGATCTACAGTTATATGAGGATGAGAGTGATACCAACCGAGTACCTTTAGTGGTTTTCCAAACGTGTCTTCTAATTGTTCAGCAGTGTCAACGGCAAGAACCAATTGGTTGGGTGAAATTTCTACTCGATCAGCATGTTTATCACTACGGTTCAATATGCGAACTGCTTTAATTCGAGAAGTACATTCAGTTTCGTCAACCTAAAATTATCAATTACTTAATAGAAACTGCCATCTCCGAGCAGTTCATATAGGTAGGTACCTCTCCCATTAAAACTCCCATGATTTCTTGTTTCTCTATACTAAGAGCATGTTGCACACAAATAGCAAAAACATCAGCATCCATAACTACTTTGTCCAGACCTATCAGCTTACCCATATTATTTTTCAAAGAAATCTACTACGTAAATAATATAATTAGAATCACCCTTTCTTACAGAAAATTTTCAACTCATAGAGAAGTATATTCGATTATTGGTGAACAACATTTTATTACATACAAAAAATTGAACTTTGAATAGTTTTTTTTTCAATAAAAACATTTGAGGTTCGGAATGTGTACGAAGTCATGATTTCAATTATGAGAAAGTAGATTCACAAGGAAACCAATGGGAGTGGAGTAAATCTAATTTCAGATTCAATGCATAGTTTTTTGAGAAGTAATTTATTTCAGTTTCTTTCATCAATTCATTAAATTGTTGTTTGTGATTCTTTGAATTATGTTGATGTTGATAAAGTCTTGAACTACGCTTTCACAGTGAAATTCATTCCGAGACGAATTTTCTCGTTGAAGGCGGCTATGAAACCAGTAAGGAAGTTACTTTTTTTCAGTTACATTCAACAAAAAGGGACCATTACACGTTCAGTGATAATGTCATTACCTGAAAATAATGACATTAGAATGTGTAAAGGTAAGAAACTGTATGATCCCAAGTATATTGAAACGGTAATGAACGTACCCGTATATTTTGAGTTTTGAGCATCATTCTTAGCAGGGAGGGATACTGTCAGTAATTATGATCGTTTAAAGCGAGGGCATCATTATTCCGTCATTACTCAGTTGAAGATTTCAAGAACAACTATAGCTATTGAAGCCGGTGACATGACAACTGAAAACTTCAATTCCTCAAAGCTTCCTACCATGGCGAAGTATCTCAGAGGTTATGCCGATATTTCGTAAACTAGTAGACTGTTAGGTAGACTGTGTGGTAGACGAAACGGTTATCGTCCGTCCACTAGGAAACTCTGAGTATGAAGTTGATATAAAATAAATACCAAATTCAAAATAATTCCCTGATCAACCCTACCCTAATTATTCGTTTTGAAATGCCATTCTCTGACCACAATGATCAACAACACTTACCGTCAAATGTCAAATTACGTTTTTGTGACGTCAATCCACGATTGAAAATGATTCTCATGACTCAAAAATTTGGCTCTTGGCTCATCAACAGTTTTCATATAAATGCAACATATATGACATTGGCTTATACCACTAACAGGAAATTTCGAAATTGCTTGTGATGTAACTGAGAGATAACAATCTAATGAATTTGGTTAGCTAGAATAGTTAATTCTACTGTTTGAATCACCGCTATTATGAATATTATATCGATTCCTAATGAACTTCTAAAACAAAGTTTTTTGATTATATCATATAGTTGGTTAGGAGATGGTAACCATTGAAACATACACCGAATTATCAGTAAATTGAACACTAAAAACTGCCTACATTAAGTTGAAAAAACATTTTCATTTGTCAAAATTTATATAAATCAGATTTGGAAAACTGATCTAAGAAACATGAAGGCTACTAATATAGCAAAACCCTCAAAAATGCTTACACAAAAAATTATAAATTCCAATGAATCCTTGGACAAAACAGAGAAAATTAAGGTACGTACGATAGTGGACTTTTTATAAATTAGTTTCGCGCCCTGCGCAAGCGTAGAAGTACTAATGTTCTATGATCCCTCTTCTATGTTCGTCATATCGCCATTTTGGTCTGTTGTATTTGTGATAAGAAAAGATTAATATTAAATGAAAAATCCGAGGGGGAATATAAATTGAAGTTTGCTTTCATTAAGTGCATTTAATCATAACTGACTCATTTGCTTTATTTCGAAGCTGAAACCATCAGTTATGGATGATAAGGCGTCCTGTAAAGAACTGGATCAGTGGATAGAACAGTTAAATGACTGCAAGCAGCTAACAGAAAATCAAGTCAAAACACTATGTGATAAGGTAGGTATTCCATTATATCAACGTTCGACATTATTGTGAATAATCAGGTATTTACTGTGATTACTCATCAGGTGCCTCATTAAATTTTTTTTATTGTGCTTCCAGGAAGTTTGTGATTTCTTGATAATTGTTCTGTATTTCAGGCAAAAGAAATATTATCAAAGGAGTCTAATGTACAAGAAGTAAAATGCCCGGTGACGGTGTGTGGAGACGTCCATGGGCAGTTCCATGATTTAATGGAACTATTTAGGATAGGTGGGCGAAGTCCGGATACCAACTACTTGTTTATGGGGGATTATGTTGATCGTGGATATTACTCTGTCGAAACAGTGACTTTGTTAGTAGCCCTCAAAGTGAGATATAAAGAGAGAATCACAATTTTGAGAGGCAACCACGAATCTCGACAAATTACTCAAGTGTATGGCTTTTATGATGAATGCTTAAGAAAATATGGAAATGCTAATGTTTGGAAGTTCTTCACTGATTTGTTTGATTATTTACCCCTGACTGCACTTGTTGACAGCCAGATTTTCTGTCTACATGGTGGTTTGAGTCCTAGCATCGATACTTTGGATCACATTAGAGCCCTAGACCGTTTACAAGAGGTATGTTCACTTTCTATCTCAATTTTTGTTTCAAATGACTCCCTATTTTTTATTAGACTAATATAGGTATTTCATAGACATAACTATTGGGCCAGCTGTCCCTGCTTTGCAGATTGCATTAATGAAATAGGGACTGTGATAGATGAGACAATGTAGGGTTTGAATTATTCAATCTTTTTCTTTAGTATTCAATTTTTTCTCGTAATGCTGTCCCCAATCTTTTTTTCTGAAGGCCAGTCCAATATTTGAAACATCTATGTGTATTTTTGTCAGCTAATCACAAATCTGAAGTCAAACATTTTGCTGGTTGTCTACTTTCAGAAATACAGCCACTCAAAAATAAAAAAATCAACTTTCTCAGGTACTCACTTCCGGTACTGAAAACTCCAACAATTACACCTTTCCATGGTCCCTATTATGGGATGGCTTCCGTGGATTAAAATGAGTTTGGGTTTTTGTTGAACGTTTTATTGGTGTTGAATAAAACCAAGATAACACAAACATCAGTTTTCATAACAAACACACAAAAATACTGCTGGTTTTTTTTAAATTATGGGATGGCTTCCGTGGATTAAAATGAGTTTGGGTTTTTGTTGAACTTTTTATTGGTGTTGAATAAAACCAAGATAACACAAACATCAGTTTTCATAACAGACACACGAAAATGCTTCTGTTTTTTTTTTAATAAAAACTTAACTGTCTCTTCTTCTTCTTCTTAATCTATCCACTACAATATAACACATTTCACCAATAGCCTAGAAGTGTTCATTTCCACACCTATTGAGAACCTTCAGTTCCACTTCCTTTTATTATACTTTCATACTTAATTATCTCAAAATTGAATTTATTTCAGTAAACATCACGATTTTTTATGAAACTAAATAATACTTCTACAAGGGATTTTTTACGGGTTTCGGCAGTGTTGTAAAATTGAAATAAAAAAAAATGTGATGTTGATAGCTTTATATAGTTGTGTGTAATTTTTCGGCATTCTGAACCACAAGAAAGTATCATTTATTTACATGTTGATGAATAAGAAAGCTATATATTTTTTCAATCAAGCCATATACTGTTTCATTATGTCAAAAAAAGTTCTATAATTTTCAAAAAGATCAGTTGAGAGATTTATCATTTCCAAAGTAACCCTAATGAAAAGCTTTCATGGGTGAAGTGAGATAAACAAAATGATGTAATTTTAATCTAAAATGACCAAAATGAGTTCTGCTCAGTTTAAAGAAAATGTAAATAAATAAATGAAGAACTTTTTTCAGGAATTGAATGTCCAGTTTATTCTATTCAAATATTTTTGTAGTCAAGTATATACCATTTTAAATAAAACCTATTTGAAATAAAACCTATTTTTGTGTTATTGTAGGAAGTCAACTATATTTAAAGCACTTTTTGCCACTTTATGCTGAAGTATGACATTTTCAATATTAAAATTACTGGAGATGCAAGTTCAAATATATTAATAAAAATCAAAACGAAAGAATTCTATAAATTTTTTTCATTGAAGGTTCCCCATGAAGGCCCTATGTGTGATCTGCTATGGTCTGATCCTGATGATCGTGGAGGTTGGGGCATTTCCCCAAGAGGCGCTGGTTACACTTTTGGACAGGACATTTCTGAAACCTTCAATCATAGCAATGGTCTCACCCTTGTTTCTCGAGCACATCAGTTGGTCATGGAGGGTTACAATTGGTGTCACGATAGGAACGTCGTAACTATATTCAGTGCCCCGAACTATTGTTACAGATGCGGCAACCAGGCCGCTATTATGGAGTTAGATGATGCCCTCAAGTATTCTTTGTAAGTATATTTTTGTTTTGAAATTTGCTTTTTTTGAGCATGAGACTGGCGATACTTTTCAATTTCTCCGGTTGTTACCTTATGTTCCTCACCTTCCTCGAACTAATTTGACTAGTACAACGAAATCTTTATTTTATAAAGGTTTGAATGAGTATAATGAACTCNTTGTATTTTTGGTTTTTATAAATGATCTTCCGAAATTTTGTTCAAAAGCTTCCAATACTGTTATTTTTACAGACGATACTAACATCTTGGTATTTGTAGTATCCTATGTCCGAAGTAATTGTCAAAGCTAATGAAGTAACTGATCGAATTTCTGAGTAGTGTTCTATAAATGGCCTGCTGTTAAATTCTGCTAAATCTCAAATGCTCAACTTTGTTACTAAAAATACAACAAATAACTATAACAAATACTAACCAGTAAACATATATATATTTACTTCGTCGGTTAAAACAAACAGTCTCTCTTGATGTTCTCAAGCTTTTATACCACAGTTTAATTCAGTCAGTAATTTTCTATGGTCTTGAACAGTGGTTATTATCAGCTAAAGCTGATAAAAGTTTTATTATTCAGAAAAAGGTAATCAAAATTCTGGCTGGTGCATCTTCAAGTGAATGTATGGTTTATGTTTTGAATTGAATTTTTTATGTTTGTTTTACCTGTTGAATCAGCCAGTATTTTATGATGATGTTATTTTTTTTGTCTAATGTGATTGTGAAGGAAAACTGATTCAATAAATAATAAAGGGAGTAACGAGAAAACAATCAAAGAAATTCAATCTAATGATGGTTCTATGAACTGACCAGAAAAAAATTGCTAACAAATTTGTTCAACACTAGCGAAATTGGTAAAATCTTGGCGGGTGAAATACGAAAAAGACCAAATTTAAAAAAAATAAATCTACTACTATTAGAAAGCCAAAAAATTTCTTTCCCAAAAATTAATCACTCCTAAAAATATAACCCCTTCAATTCATACAATATGGTGTACCCCAAGGGACAGTTCTGGGTCCAATTCTCTTCAATATCTGCCTAAACTATTTTTTTTATGCTAGATGTGGAAGGGGACATAATAAGTTTCGCAGATGACGCAGTAGTCATTTACAAATCGGAAACGTGGAGCTGTCTGAAAGAAAAAGTTGAAGAAAATTTCAAAAGCTATAATTCAATGGTTTGAAAGTAAACTATTGAGTAATAATTTGGCCAAAACATTTTACATTACCTTTACATGCTAGCCATTTACCAAGTTTCAATTCACTACTTATAAAATATGATAATTTGAATCTCACTATCTCTTCAGTAAATAAAATAAAGTATCTTGGTATATATAGATGCCCATTTGAAATGGGATGCACATATTGACAGTTTTACAAAAACGCAACACGTGTTTCGCCAAACAATGGCTTCCTTGGGCGTGTCTTAATCGTTAAGACCCGTTTTTGTAAAACTGTCTAGTGAAAATCACACAATAAAGTGTTTTTAGAATACGTTAGTTATGGATTTTCATCAAGTATCGGCCGATTCCATCATATCAATTACGTAGTGTTTACATATAGATTGAAATACATGACACCCTACCTAGATATAGCTCATGTTTGAAACTCGCCTCCCCTATGGGATAGTTGCCTGGGAAACAGCAAGTAATTCTCATATAAAAATCTTAGAACAAATTCAAAAATTAAGTCTGAAAATAACCACAAATAAAAAACGAACTTACCCCACAGAAGCGCTATTTAAGGAAACATTGACTTTAGACCTAAGGCAACTTTACTTCTTCAAAACTGTTATAAGGCAACACAAAAATAGAACATCATTATGCAACTCACAACAAAATGAATTCATCCTATGTACCAAAATCACAGAAAAATACTTTACAAAAGTGTTATACTTACTTAGCTCCTCAGCTGTATAATCTTATTCCAACACATGTCAAAACTATCGTTGGCATTATTATGTTCAAAAATAAGCTAAAAGCTTGGATCTCAGGTTTGCCTAGAGCACAGATACACCAATATGTTGATGTAAAAAATACATATTACTACAATGTATAAATGTCTGTAGAAGATGTATGTGATTAGAGTTGTGTAATCTGTAGGTCAAATTCTCCATGGTTTATTTGTTTCATTTAAAAAAAATAGGGTATTTGTTTGATTGATGTGTGTGATGTTCGATGTAATGTACCTATTGCGCTTGTTTCATTATATAATTACAAATTACGAATTATTACAAAGAAAAATATATTGTAATGAGAAGGAAATTGAAATCAATTATAAAAAAGGAAGAAAGTCGGTATCTTAAAGAGCTGCAGGATAATATGTCAGGTAATGTGAGCCATTTTTGGAACTATGTTAGAAGTAAAAGGGCAAACTGTACTGATGCCGGAAATTTTCTATATAAAAGTAACCTAGTAAATGAAGAGGACACTGCTGAAGTCTTTGCAGAATTATTTTCTTCCGTATATGATCTGAATAAAGCCTCCTATAGCCTAAATACAGATATTCTAGGGGACGTTAACGATATATTTTCAATTAAAACCAAAAAAAACTGCAGGCACTGATGGTATCCCTCCCTTCCTTAAAGGTTGTAGTGAATGGTTAAAGAAACCACTTGTTCATATTTTCGATAGAATTCTTGAGTCGAGAGTCTTTCCAGAGCAATGGAAAGCAGCCATCACTACACCAATCTATCTGGTGATAAGACGAACATTGAAAATTACCGACCAATTTCAATTATGTGTGCTTCATCCAAACTGTTGGAACAGATCATATACAGTAAATTATATCAATATACTGAAGAATATTCAATATCTGAGCGGCATGGTATTTGAAACATTTGGATGTAAATCCCAAATGGATACAGTATTTACCTATTTCCGCAAAGCATTTGACCGTGTAAATCATGACGTACTTCTGAAAAAGTTGACATGGTTCGGATTAACGAAGAATTTGGTTGAATTAATAAAGAGTTACTTGGAAAATAGGAAATATATTGTCAGACACAAAGGAAATGTATCAGGAAAATATCATGCAAACTCTGGAGTGCCACAGGGTTCCAATTTGGGGCCTCTTCTCTTCATTATATTCATAAATGATTTATCTTAAGTTATTAAATACTTGGAATGCCTCCTGTTTGCAGATGACCTCAAAGTATATAAAAAAATACAGTCAGTACGGGATTGTGTTATGCTGCAGAAGGACATGAATAGTGTTTATGAATGGAGTTTGATTAATACACTTTATTTCAATCTCACTAAGTATAAAGTGATGAGTATAACTCGCACTAAAGAACCAGTTATCTTTAATTATGAGATGGGGATAGAGAAACTAATCAGATGTACAGAAATTAAGGATCTTGGTGTTACCTACAATATAGTTTTTTCATTTGCGGGGCATATAGGAAATATAGTATCCAACGCCAACCAATGATGAGGCAAACTGCAACTTTCACAAATACTACCACAATAAAATTACTCTATTTTGCGCTAATGAGGTCTAAGTTGGAGTTTGCATCATTACTGTGGTTCTCGAAATATGCATCCTCATTACATAAAATTGAGAGAGTACAGAATAAATTTTTAAGAATATTGTATTATAGAAAATACCGTTTGTGGCCTAACTATAAAACAGTTAGATCAACTCATTTAAGAAATTAATTTAAAATAATGAATTCCAGTAGCATTTATTTACTTGATTTTTTTTTATTTAGCTTGCAGTTTGATCCAGCACCACGACGTGGCGAACCTCATGTAACTCGCCGAACACCAGATTATTTCCTATAAACATTCTTCATAAAAACTTTTTGTCAACTGCAATATCATACAAAAAACAAGCTTAGATATAAAATGAATATTGTATTTGTTAACAACTATAGTCTACAAGTAAAAGGCTCAGTCTGCCCTCAAAAATTTTTTTTATCTTCGTTTTGAAAATTATGACGTGGCAAGATTGAAATTATTGTTTATTAGGTTAAATGTTGTAGACTAATATATATATAGAAATGTACCTTATTGAAGTTTTGGTGAATTTCAAGATGAACACACTTTTTTTTTCTATCCCTTAATTTTCTGTTGGATATCTTTGAGATCGGTACAGATTAAAGGGTTTGCGAGATGCGACCAAAGGATCCGTGTTACATTTTACTGTAGGTATTTCGTGCATGAACCTAGTATATACTCAATTGATGCTTAAATAATGATGTGGAAAGGCATTTTTTAATAAATTTTGTGTCTTTGGAAAATTTATGTGTAGCACATATTTGAAAGGTATTTTCAATAGTGAAAAAAAATAGCTATGGGCTGTAGGTAATCTTAATATTCGTTTTATAATCACGCAGCCTTTGGCAAACATATGAAGATATCAATTTTGATTTCAAATGTTCCAAACCTTTCATGCATTTCTGCGTTAGTTTGTGCTGCGTCTCTCAATATTGTCAGCAGCAATTTAATGTCACTTTCATTCACATCATATATGAAATTATTTGGAAATTGTGATAAACTCAAAGTTGATATTAAGTCATCCGTACTTTCGAGAATAAATTATTCTCTATGTAAATATCGGAATGAGTCCCGTGGAAATGAAGTGGAATCATACATATTTAAAAACGTTTTTCACTTTTGAAAATACCTAATTTTTTTTGTAAAAAATATGGGAGACATAAAAATCGCAGATCTTTGGAAAAAATTGAGCAGTTATCGTCATCAAGAAGCTTACTTTGAAATTGTCTGAAGTTTGCTGTGTAAATATATATTTTTTCCAGAGAATCTTGATGAAATCAAAGTCGTAATTTTCGAAAAGTTTCGTGTTGCCATTATTTATGACTCCGTGTCCTTAACATTTTGTGGTTCTTGTACAATTAGTAAGATACCTTAACATGCAAGAAAAATTGTGTATGTTCTATATGTTTTTATATTGTTTTTTTTCCATAGAAATCCGCTGCTGTCTGGGATGTTTATATTCGAGTGTTGAATTATCTACACATTTTTTTATAATAGTTGGAAATCAAACCAGTTTTTTTTTTGATGTTCGAAATATCAAAACTGGTTTTTCTGATGTTTGAAATATTATTAATAATTACATAGAATGAAGATACCTCAACACTTGAAGCCACGTCTTCGACATGCAATCTCGTTTATTTACTTCTGAATTTTTTTAAAGACTGTTCATTTGGTCCTTCAGTAAATAAAATTATTTCTAATACTTTGGTGGTTGTTTTGTTCATTAAGCCCTGATGATGGTACAAATGAATTTTTTTTGAAGAATTGGAATTCTCTTCCAAAATTATTTCATTTTGTTTATCACTGTTGAATGTCAACTATTTCAAACTTTGATTGAAAATGGGTTATTCACCAATCTTGGGTATGACGAAAGTCCTATTTTTTTTTATTAAGAGTAATTTTTGAAATTTTGTAGAAATGAATGGATGTTAGCCGTTTTGGGAAATGGATTTTTTACTGAAACTGGTTTTGGTAATGAGATATCTCACGCTACACAATAGCTAGTAACTGATGAAGTTATATTCTATTAGGTTGTCTAAAAAGTGACTGCTTTGCTCTATCCTTGAAACNCTTTGTCAATAAGATGCAAATCTTCGGACAATAAAGTATATTTTCATTTGATATGAAATGTTCTTCTAAATAAAATGTGTTTTGATGAATACAGTTGGAATGTCATATATGGAAGACGATACAGTACCTTTAATGCATTCTTTATAAACAATGAAAATTTTGAAGGTATTTTTACAGCGTGATCCCCATATATTTAATAAATATTTAATCTGGCTAAAAGTATGAGTCCAAAAAATGTTTGCTATTTCTGGTTTCAATTTTGGACATCTTGCTTTTAAGCTGAGGTTTCACAATTATGGATACAACCTGCACAATTATTTGTATTTGTTTAAAATCTGTTTTTCCGTTAACCAGCTGTCGCACCCCTACGAACGACAACCCTCAGAAGTCGAGCTAGGGATTAAGGAGGTCTTACCTTTTAACGTGCGATTCCTCAATGATGTACCACATATAGAGGTTTGCTATTGTTTTTTGGGTGGGGTCTAGAGGGTTGATTAGAATGAGTTTTTTGTGCCATTTCATTTTATAATAATAATAATAATCAACGTCTTCTTCTGCGTAAACACAAGGATAAGCAATGCATGGGGTCTTTTTCAATAACATTGGAGACCTTGGCTTATGAAAGCGCCTGACTTTTGCTTTCCTCAGGTCGAGTAAAGTCGGAAACTGAGGGGTTCATCATGGCTGGCCAGGATGGTGTCTTCAACACCTTAGTCTACCGCAGTCGCGTGATGGATGAAAAGTGAAGAGAAACAAAAACGAATAAAATGAAGTTTCCTTTCTATCCTAAAAACGGTTTTGAGATTTTTTTGATATCACATTTTATTTGTGATATACAGCACATTGTAAGTTCTTGAATTGTCGCACTGTATAATTGAAACATTCAAAGTGAGATCCAAGAAAATACGTCTAATATTCATGTTATTGTAGCTATTTTCACTAAATATATAAAATTAAACTAAAATCGTCACAATACTTCTTTATTAATAATGAAACAGTGCCAACTAATTTCATTTTAATCATTTAAATCCAATCTAGAAATCATCATCACTGTTATTTTCTTGTACTTTGCTGCTCGCCTTTCTCCCCGACGCAGCTCGTCTATCGACGGAGAGCTCTAGCGCCAAAGATTCATCAGACTGCATTAGCTCTGGTTCATCCTTATCTAGGAAAGAATCGTCAGATTCTGAGTCGGTACTTAGATCCAGAGAAGATTGGCTACCAAGAAGAGGTGGCTGCATGGCTCCATAAGCTTTTGGTTCTTTCTCTAGTTTGTTTCGGCCTGAAACGAATCGGAAAGTAAAACAGTATAATAATAATAATAATTTACTCGTTACTGTGGGAATCTCAATATATGTTACTACAAATGTTTGATGGCAATAATAACATTGAAATTAATATAAAAAAAGAAATTGAGAGAAATACCTATAAAGCTAATATTCGCATTGGAAAATGTTGAGAAAAGTTTTCAAAACTCATTTGCAGAGACTTTGATTCAAAAATTAGGAAGCCTCATATTGTCACATCGGAGTAAACAGAAGATCTCAATGCGAAGAAAACATTTAAAATATTCCCAATAACAAACTACCAGGAATTGATTCATTGACGCTCATTAGGCAAGGTAATGACTTGAAGATGCGTATAAAAATATCAACAAAACAACAAAATTCTAACGATGGAGAAGTATTTTCGAAAAATTTATTGAGATTTTTTGTTGAACATTTTATAAGCACTGTGACGTCAGAGAGATCGTTTTCTACGTTAAGATATGGGAGACTGGGAGAAGTTGGTTGGGACCAAGAATGCTAGAATAAGAGCTAGAGGTTTCTAGAGATAACCGAAGACATCTACGAAGACTTCCAATTGTTTATTTTCATTATATACTTGTTATGTGGTGAAAACATTTTCATTTAAGAGTAAACTCCAAAGCTTCCGCTCTAGTTTCTTGAGTCATGTACAGCAAAACAAACAGGAGTTCCACATATATTTTTTGAAAGGTTTACGAGAGTATGTTAATTAAACCATCAAGAAATCTAAACGGAGGCGTTTTCTGGCGTTCATGTATTCGAAACGTATTCGTCTGCGATTCAAATGCATTCGTTCTAGGGTTGAAACTATGACGTCACATCAACTATGATTTGGAACGTATTTATGATGATTCATAACTAGCGAGAACTAGATCATCTATCAGTCATGTACCCATTGGTCCCTCTCAAGGCCAATGATCAGCCAAAAGAGTAGGGGAGCTGGTCTCCAAACCTGGATGAAATCAGGATGACTCGTCAGCTCAGCGAGAACTAGAAACGAAATTTGACGTCAGTTAGTGCTTTATTTTGATCGTTGAAGTTTATAAAATGCTGAACACTTTTTATCAAATACGTTGTAAGGATGTACAAAATAAAGCTGAGAAATGATTACTTGCACAAATCCGATCCTAATTGAAGTTAGATAAAATTAAAAAGTTTGTTTAATTACTCTGAGGTTTTAATTATTGATTTTGACATCTGACACAATTTGAATCATTCCATTCCTATAGTGACAGTTAGTGATGAGTTTCATTTAAGTTTGTCATTAAAAACTTTCAAAGATTCAATTTTCCAATACTAAATTTGCGGTCGTTACATTCTTCTGCCCAGAAAATAGAATCTTACTAACACAGTACCTGTCTATTAAAATTGTCTGCAGAATTCGAAGAGACAGTTTGTATTTTACCGTTTTTCCCATTTCATTGCCTACTTATATTAAAAATACATTTTTTAAACTTCCGAAATGGTTAATGATTTATTTCAAATTAATACTTGCCTACTGTTGCGCCTCGTTGTCTCTCTTGTCTATTCACAGCCCCACTTCTATCCAGTGGCTCGTTGTCCTCGATGAATATATCTTTCTGATCCATACTCTCCAAAGGAATAGTTTGTATTTGCGGTACTGTCATCTGCGATTGTTTTTCAATTTGTGCCAATTCCGAGTCCGTAAACTGTTTCTCCAGCTGATTAAGGCATCTCAGCCTCAACGAATACTGCACGAAAAGTTGTTCTAGTTCTTTCTCCAATGCCGTGAATTCTTCCAAGAATGCTGGCCTGAATAATATTTATTTTAAGGCTTCCAATCCTGGAATACCGAGATCTTGGTATTGCGGGATCCCACATTATTTTTCAATCCCGCATGTAGCGGGATTACGAACGCGGGATTTGCGGGACTGAAAAGATATTTCAACACGATCTCTCACGAATGCGATCGCTCTGCGATCACTACCGACATAACCTATAACTAAACTGCTAAAGGTTATGTCGATGGTGACTACTGGTCGCAATGGCAATGTAACGGAACGCGGCGCTGCTCTAAGCGGGGTGCGGAGAGCGGTATGTGAAGCGAATCAGTTTCAAAATAAACAAAAATTAACGTGGTTTTTAATAACTGAAGTTATTGATTGTTTTGTATTTCCTTGGAGTATATTGCTATGGTGATACTAAAACTGAACATAAATATCAAGTTCCGTGCAATATAGTGACTTTTCATGCAATTCTTAAGTTTGAGAGCATTTTATAAAATCTAATGATGGGTTAACTGAAAAATGTAAATTGTGCAATATTATACTCAGAACCACTGTGCTAGGTTGACCAAACAATAACACGAGCATTTGAATTATAAGCATCATATAAAGGATTTAAGCAAAAAAAAGTCTGAAAATGCACCGTCGTCTTCAAGTGCGAGTACCCGTGTGCTATCTCCAGAAGTCAAAGCGAACGAAGATCACAGGTCATGCTAATAGTGAAACTTGAATAAATGAGGAGTTTGTTGAATAATTCATTACTTTATTTGCCTTATATGAATATTAATATTTTCTATATGTGGCATCCCGCAAATACTGGGATCGCGCGGGATTGATAAATAATTCTTAGTCCCGCAAATACCGATATTGAATACAGACTGTGGGGTTGAACATACACTTTTAAATCGGATAGTGTGCTTGTCAAAATGTAAGGCTTGATAAATTCTCACAGACATCGATAACGACTTTCTTATTGAAGAATACGATAGTTTGTCACCTTCCAAAGATTGTTTTTCCCACAACCATTGGGGCAACCAAAATAAATGCGATAGTGAGTACCTACTAGTTTTATGGGTACAAACATGTGTCTTTCACTTGATCTCAAATCGATTATCGATACATGACGTGAGACGATAATGAATTTTTTGATTTCTTTCGGCTTACTAGTTCGCATTTATCAGTGCCAAAGACGGTATTCGGACTTCACATGTTGGGAATGCCAACATCATGATGACTCCTATGAAAAATCATCAGTTGTGTTTCTTATTTCACTGAAAGAGAACAGTACGATCGTAAAGGCAAGCATATTTATAGCAGCAACTTTGTTTTTCACCGAAATGACCAGATGTGTCAGAGTTCGTGCTGATACTTGTCGACAACAGATGCCATACATTTGTTTATCCAAAATTTCACCTCGATAGCAAGCATCTATTCTCCCATCTTCCACCTTCTACAACTCTCAAACACCATTGCCATGGCAATATCACTATAGCTTCAGCTTTTAGCATTCTACTGTGGCAGTGTCACATACTTTATCTGAACTTGAACGCAATCGATAAAGGCAACATTACAATTGCATTTCCTCAGATTACCTTGGAGCTGTGGGCACGAAAATCACGACGGCGGAGAGAAGGCGACTGCAGGCGGCGCGGAGCGGGGAGATGAGGAGAAGGCTTTCGCGTGGGCACGAAACGCAACACTCGTTTCGTGCGCGTCACCCATACTGTTGATGTATGCATCGCCACCGTTGCGTCGCCCTTGCTCGGCCGTCGCCATTTTCGTGCCCGCAGCCTGAAGGTAACCTAATCTATTTGGAATGTAGGTCGTATATCAGATGTTGTAAACGAGTCTTTCAGAGATTTATTTTTCAACCCATCTTGGTTGAGTGGTAGAATAGCGTAAGCTATTCTACCTGGCCATTGAAGAAGCCCACAAGAAACCTCGAAAGACCATTTAGTATTATTATTATTATTATCTCGCTATTTTGTAGAGTACCGAAAAACATCCGAGCAGGTCTGCTCTTATGATCGTTCAGATACTCTAAGAATATCTTAGTTTTGGGTTGTAAAATTCTTCAAACCCACTGTCATCGCTCTTTGATTTTCTTCCACAGCTGGAAATTGTAACTTCTTTGAATTCAACATGAAATCTGTGTAACAGAAAAGTTCTTGAAAACATTACTTTCCCTACTAGAATATTTTCTCATGAATCCGCAAAAGATTGTTATAGGGTGACGTTTTCAGCAATGACATTCACGTACCTAACTTTTTTCAATGCTTGAAGCCTCTTCTCATAACGACCAATTTCAACATTTCTTCTTTCTATTTTCGCATCTAAACTCGCTTCTGTGGCAGCAACATTTTCAATTAGTTGCTTCGTCTCTTCTATTTCCTGCGTGATTATTTTTATAGCCTCTTTTATTCCTGCTTCCACATCTGAGAGTTCGATTTGACGTGCAATACTTCTCTGACGGGCCACCTGAAGACATCATTTTCAATCAGATAATATATAAAAAGTACTAAGTTTCGCATAAAAAATATTATTTATTTTATTGAATGATATCAGAACACAAAGGCGTTGCAATACTGCAATAAAATACTGAGTAAGACCACAAGACACCATATCTGTAAACCTATAAGCACGTGGACTGTTGAAAAAATGAGGCGAATGTTCAAATTTCGCGGGCTGCGTACATTGGATTAGCGATTTTTTTATGTTGGTACACTCGTCTCGAACATATGTTCACAGTTTCAGCGAACATGCTATTTCGCATTTTTATTTTGTTGGTAAGAGGCATAAAAGATGAATGAATATTCCTGACAATTTCAACATTCCAGAATATTTTTGAACATTTTACAACGTTACAGAAATTCAGGTATGTGCTCCCGAATACTCTCTAATGTTCTGGATTGTTCTAGAAGTTTATAGAGGGCGAAACTTTCAGCCCTTAAATCTTCAAAAGCACTCTCTTCAGGTAAAAACGGAAACAATATTCATGGACATACTATACCTATATTCAAAATGAATTATGCATTCAAGTGATATGGTGGCTGGATAATTACCCTCATGCAGAATCTCGAGAGGATTCTTTGAGTATGAGTCTGTTCGAACAGTAAAATAATGAATATTTCCTACTATTGATGATTTTTGTATTGTGAATTTCACAACAAAAGTTTTGATATCCTAAAAAATTCGTCTCACCTTCAAATCTACTTCTTTTCCTAGTAAGTCGAATAAATTTGCACCGGTAGAAGTAATTTCACTAGAACTTGTTTTTCAAAATTTGGCATATGGATATAAAATTGCCGTAGACACAACTTTTTCAAGTTACTTTTTGTTAAATTCGGTCTAGAAATGCACTTTTCCAATTTTTTTCAAAAAAAAAAGTTGAATTTAACAAACACTGAACGTCAGTGGGTCGCAGTTGGCCGCATCATTTTAAGTTCAATTTAAAGCACAAATAAGTGCCGACGTTAAACTTCATTGCACATATGATGTGCACTTTAATGGTGACACTGTATAACCATAAAAATATTCCATAAATTACATAAAAAAACATACGTTTAGAAACTTTTCTCAATCTGTCACAGATTGTTTCACGTTCGATTACCAACTGTCTGCTTCAAATGTATCTACTACTTGGAAATTTGCTACTTTCAGGTTCAAATGATACTTTTGTAACTCATTCGTCTTTTTTGCTTTCAAATTATGCCGAGATTTTGTATTTTTTTTCCATACTTTACAAATTTACAATTTTTTGAGATGTGTCATGGATTCGACTGCTGTTGTCAAATGTTGCTGGTACTTTTCCATTTGTCCTTTCACTTCTTGAAGATCCTGAACGTAAAGAAGACATCTTCCATAGAGTTGTTCCTAGTAGGAAAGACCACTTCTACTTATCATTTCTGGCGCCATTGGTTCAAAAAATATTCACCAGTATCAGCCAGGAGAACGAAATGGTGCACATCATACACAAGAAAAATCAAGGTTATGGTGATTATAGTTGAAAGCTAGTTCTTGAGAAATACTCGAAAAAGTGGTCACTGCAACATGTCTAGGTGCGGATGGCAAAGTCTTGATCAAGTAAAACTAAGTCAGTCACATCTCCACTATAACACGTGAAGGTTTATTGACATCTATTCATCAAATAAATCCAACTTCTTAACGAAATCGAATACTTATTTGGTGAGTGGTCTTTCAGCTCAGCTGGCAAGACTTTGCCAAAGGCTGATAAGCAGGGTCTGAATTTTCTCTTGAAGAATAATCAGCTCCAAGGATGATAGACCATAGTATATTTTCCTCAATCTAATGAGGACCTAATCGATGGTGGGTCTGTGACTATTATCGTCAGACGGGTAAGCAACATTAATATTTGTTTTAGGTAGTAGGAAGACGACATCTCTTGATTCTCTCAGGTAATCTGTAGTCATCCAAGTCAGAATGTGCGGTTCTGGTATCGTACTTGTAGACCTTCTTCTGGAATACCCTCTACGGCCACCATAATGGCATATTGAAGATATTCTAGTTGATTGGTCGTTATTGGAGTTGTCGAATGTTCACTGTAACCGCAGTAACTTTCCTATGTAGAGCATCTGTAAGTCTGTATGGTTTTTCAGCCTCTAGTTTGGGTGAATCATCGTTTGAGATTAGGCATTTTCTGATCTGCTCAGAAGGATTTTGTTTCTTCTCTTGGAAGTAGATTTTTCTTCTGATTCTCCAAGAATTTGGTGTGAGGTACATTCATATGATATCTTGTTCTTGAGGAGGCGATAAGTCTGTTTCTGTTAGCACCACCTAGCCTCCTAGGCTCATCAAGAGTTGAAAGGCTGATAAGTATTCTTAGGATATAGGTTTGATGTGAATCATTCTGGGAAAGTTATCCTCAATTCAACAAAATATTAAAATCTGGCTTAATGTCTCAACATTTCAAGGTGGCCACTTTTTGTGCATCTGAGTGTATATATACTATGTTTTGAAAGGATAAATAATTTTTTCTCCGCTTCAGAAGGTTCCTGAAAAATACAATACAATAAACAAATATTTTAAAACATCGAAGCTGTTTCTGGGAACATTCGAGGAAAATACTTCGTTGGTGTCATCGCCTTAAATGGTTGTACTCATCTTCTATATTGTTATAAATATCCCCTGAAAAAAATAACGCCGGCCGCCACTGGTCGTCGTAAATCGATTGTGACTTGGCCAATATAGCGCTTAACTCAAGTGCGCGATTGTTCTAGATATCGCGTCGCTTCGAGATACTTTCAGCGACTTCCCTATCGGCTTGAAGAGACTTCGATTACCATATATAAACACTACCAACAAGCTAATCATGAAATTTAGTTGAAAGTGCGGTATGAAGTGTTCTAATAAGGCGATAGACATTTGAAAATAGACATTTTCCATATCTGATTCAAATAATTTGTTTTGTGCGTTCAGGATAGGTTTGTATTAGGATTCTAAAATGTGTTCATATTAATTCAAATTTATAACTTTTACCACGCAAAACTTATTTCAAGAGTAATTTTTATTAAAAAAGCAGTAGCGTGTCACTTTTCTCTTTGAAAAGATTCAGTGGAAATCACACGAACGACACCAGTAACAGAAAAAAAACAGCAAATGCTGTAGCACTCCTTATTTCGAAAGTTAAGACTTCTGAGACATTCGTTCATATGAAGGTTTTTCTCAGAATTGACCAAAAAAATAAAATCCTGAAATGTTAGCATGTTGTTGAGAAATACCTTGTATATCAAGATATTAAGATAAAGTATTACTTGGATATGTGAGCTTGATTTTTTGTTTTTGAATCAACTAATGTACCTACCTTGTCAGTAATATCAAAATCTCTCAGATCTAAATTGGAATCATCGAATTTTTCATCGTCACTCTGGTCCAAATTGCTAAGTAATGCTTCGTGCAAAATTGAGGTTATTTTCAACAAGTCTTTAATAGCATATCCATCTGCTTGGTATAACCTCTTAGTGTTTAATTTGATATTCACTTTCACTGCCTGAAAGTAAGTATGAAATTTTCATTCAGTAAGAGAACTAATGAGATATTTTTTTCTTTTGATAAAACAGTGATATTTATGTCTGGACTCAACAAACACACTAAATTGTTTTTTAATATATCTAAGTAGTTACTAATGTTCAATGTTTCGATGATCACAGAAAGACATAAAAATATATCGTTCGTTTTTTTATAATCTAGACTTTCAATGTAAATCATTATTACCATAAATTGAGCTACGTTTCGTATCAATTTAACTCGCTCATCTTCGGTAGAAATTTCAGGTGAAATGTCGAAATCAGGATCGAATCTCTTGGACAACCAGACCAACAAATCTGCCACCAGTGGAAAATTTGGATTCCGAAAACTCTCCATTGACACCAGATTTGGGTATCCCAAAACTCTGAGAGTTTCTATCATGTCTGTAATGTAAAAAATAATTTGTTCGATAAGGATTCCAAATCGTTTTTTGCACTTGGTGAAGATACATTATTGCCTAAAACACGATACATTCTTGTTGACAAAGTTGTGTTTTTGATTAAGAAATAGTGAGTTCTTCAGCAGAGGAAGGATGATATTAATTCAATAATAAAAGTTTTTTCAATTTGTACCGCAAATGAAGTTACTCTCGAAGCATTCGTACTTTGAACTCAATTGAAGTTCGCTCTGTAGGAGATTCAACGATTTTTTCATCACTTGTTTGACTACGTTTGTAGATAACATTATAAATATTCGTACTTTGAACTCAATTGAAGTTCGCTCTGTAGGAGATTCAACGATTTTTTCATCACTTGTTTGACTACGTTTGTAGATAACATTATAAATGACGTCTGTAGATAAGATTGGAAGTAGGTAACGCAGAAACTCGAAAGGAAAGCATTTAGCAACAAGTATTTGAAAACTATTGAAGAAAAACAGACTTACTGCGAATATCCCTGTACGACATTTCAGTTTAAACTTTAAGGTATCTGTAGGTTATGATATTTTGTTTGTATTTTGATTATGGTCGCTAAGTAACGGACAGTCCTTCGTAAAATATCCTGTCTGGATTTTATTTGGGGTTGTACCCGAGTAATTTCACGCCTTAATGGGTTTTCAGTCGTGTGAAATTGAAGCAAATAAATGAAATGAGAGGGGCAAATTGCTAAATTTGTCCAGAAATGTTGCTGTGTTTTGATAAAAATCAGATAGGAATTTATCCAACTTGTCAGTATAATGATTCTTATAAATGTTGCCTAAATAGTTGAAAAATGTATGAACCTAAATGAAAATATATTTCCTATGGTTGATTTTTCAGGAACGACCCCTGTTCCCTTTCTCAAATACTTATAAAAAATACCAAAAAATCCCATACAATTATATAGTGGACTGTTCAAAAAATAACTTAAATGTTTAAATTTCGCGGGTTGAAGAGTTATAAGCATTCATAACAATTACCAGTGAGGATTTTCCGTTGACCAGTAGCGGCAATTTTGCTGATTTGCATGACCGTTAAGAGACAAAGTATGGCTAACATTGAATGTAGTGGATGCCGGTCAACTCGATGTATGTGGGATTTTCTCAAACTCGAGCATCACATATAATTTGAGTTCATCACTCATGCAGATGCTTTTATTACCTGCCCCACATGATGAAGCTCGCGAAACTGTTTCTCTATTTTGCTTATTGTTCCTTGAGATATGAGCGGTAAACTAGGAAATTTCTCATGAAATAGGCCACCTAGTTCCTGTTGTGTTCGGGTTTTATCTCCGTAAACAATCATTTCCCTTAATCTAACCATTTGTCAGACTTGAAAGTTAACGAACTTTAAACTCAAATTAAAATACTGACAACTAATGTAACATACAAAACAAGTCAGCAAGGTGTTTTAAAGAAACGTTGCCTCGGAAATTATTTACAGTTTTTTAAAGGATACCATCTAAAAAGAACATTGCTATGGTTTTTACTTACTTTCTTATTATCAATACCTCAACATGAAATAGATTTCGAGTATATTGCAATAAGTTTTGAGTGTATTTTATCGAATTTTGGTAATCACATGATTTCAATTTATTTTATCTTAATTCTTGCAATAAACTAGTTGCAATTCACTAGTAACTTAAAGCGCAGTAATAAATTATCAATAAATGTTGGTAACACAGAAGTTCACAACTCAGAATCAACGAGATTCCTAGCCCTCGAACTAGACTTAAAACTTTCTTTCAATAGACAAGTTGATGCTCTGTGTAAAAAACTCAACGAGCTGTACTTTGCATTTATTACTCTGAAATCAAGTTTTCATAGGCACCACCTAGTAAACCTATATTATTCTTTAATATACAGTATCATTAGTAGTAACATCATTGTGCGGTGAACAGCTACAGACACATGCAGAATTTTCATATCACAAAAAAATTCATTAGGTTAATATATGATTTGGACTATAGAGAAACGTGCAGAAACACGTTCATTGAAAACAATATCCTAACACTATCTCTACAAATTATTAATATATACCCATCAGAATGCTAAACATATGAATAGAAACAGTGACTACCATGAATATGATACCAGACAGAAGAATGACTTCCATTTGCACCACTTGCAAAGAAAGCAACATATAAAGAACCTCCTATATGCTGGAGCACATTTGTTCAATCTTCTGCCTGAAGACTTGAAACTCATTAGCAATATGAAACATTTCAAACTATCTTCGAAAAAGTTTCTCATCCGCCATGCCTTTTATTCATTAGACGAGTATAAAAAACGTAGCGGCAGTTTTGTTTCAATGTATTTTAACATGTGTTTATGTTTAAATATTTTATATTTCATTTTATTCATTTTTAACGACTAGGATGTTTGTTATGTTTTTTTCTTAATGTTTATTTCCAATGAGAATTTTTTCTCTTTTCATGTACTGTGACTTATCTCATGTTGTAAAGCAACCGTAAGAGATTGAATAAATATCTATCTGTCTATCTATCTATCTAATGAATTAATAAACAAAATACTTTCCAAAAAAGTCTACGCAAAAACGGTCCGAGACATTTTTCCTATTGATAAGTTAGATAATCAAAATTTTAGAGCTTTAAAGTATTTTGGACAAACAACGGAAAAGTGTCTTCATTATTGGGAAAACGAGATATCAAAGTAGCATATAGAACAAGTAATAGNAAAAACGAAAATAAAAATAAAACTTCAACATCCTGTATCTTGGAAACGAAGCGTTTCCGGACATTTATTTATTTGGACAATTCATATTAGAATATTGTGAGGAATCACCTCCTGAAGTTTGACAAAGTACTTTTGAATCACCCTGTATAATGAGAATGTTTTCTCTCTTTATATATTGTGACTTATCTCATGTTGTAAAGCAACCATAACAGATTCAATAAATATCTATCTATCTATCTAAACTTGAAAGGGATAACATTTTTGGATAGAGAATGAAGAGACCTTTCAAACGATATATAACAAGCCTATACTTCCCATTCAAAAAAATAGGGGTTGTACCTTTCATTCCACGGGGGTTGAAGGTAGGGAAAGCACTTTCCGTTGAAGTATGTCAAATTATAATTTAAATTTGACGTGTTTCGGGATTTTGTTAATATATAACCCGTAACCGAAATAATAAATTTATTCCATATGGCTTTTACACACTGTATACTGCTATAGTTTCTCTCATTTCTGGACAGACTATAGTAACAACGACCAACGTAATAAACAATTGGGTTTCACGTTCGACTGCGATTCGCATCAGATTACGTTTTGAAGCTACTCGAACTCGATGGGTCACCGCCTGACATTCCTTATCAAATTGAACGAAAACAATATGGTGGAGAACGATGTACCTACATCAAACTTATCAGCCTGCGTGTGCGTTCTGAGTTGAAACCACGAAGTCAGTCAATTCATCAGTTTAAATATAATATAGCCAACGCAGCTTATGGCGGCTAAAATAGTACCGATCTCCGTTTTGGTGGAGGAGGCCAAGAAGGTTTTTCGAGACGAGTTCGAGGATGAAGCCGATATTACTGTTTTCGCTCCTGGGAGGGTGAATCTAATGGGCGAACACACTGATTACAATGAGGGATTCGTCATGCCAATGGTGAGTTTTCGGTAGTTTTATTCGGATTATCCAATGGTTGAGGTTAGCGCACACGACACTGTTATTTTTAAACGTTTAGGGGAGAGCGGAGCTTTGTAAAGTTGGAGAAATTTAAGCATGGATCACGTTTACTTACCATTTACGTGGATCAAGCGTGAATACCTTTATGAAACCTGTTCCTGCCAACATAATACGAGGTATGTTCAGAAAATAACGGATTTTTTTTTAATATCTGGTAAATATTTGTTTTGAGGGCACTCGGCGATTTTGAAAAAAATTTTGAGTGTACTTACGTATTTTGATGCGTAGATTATGAATCCGAAAGAAAAAGCGGCCCTCTCCCTTATTTACAAAGTTACCTCCCTTCAAAGTTCAGAAAAGGGGAACTTTTCAGCCTTCTTTTCATAAAAATGTTAAAAAATGTACGGAGCTGCTTTTTGGTTATAATATCTCCTGTATTTGACGTTTTTAAGGTTAATGGCATAGTTGGTACCACTGATGCTGTCAATATTCCTAAAGTAATTCAAATGTTTTTTGCCTTCACTCTTTAAATCGTAAATTGTTTTTTCTAATCACTCACGTCAAACTAAAAATCCAAATCTACGAATTTAAAATAGTAGGTGGCGGCAAATACCAACCGCTTTTTTCTGAAATGTCACTGGTAACTAACCTAGAACTAGAAGAATGTCGCCANTGGCGAAGTTACACAGCGTACCAGTGGAGTCTTTGGATGATGTGTAGCAGTCTTCAATAACTGCCATCTGGAGTAGTTTCTTGTGAGCAGAGACAGAAACGATACCAGTACCACGGGGAGCCAGGATGAGACGTACAGTTACCGATCCACATTTTCCGGTGACTTTGCAAGGCACTGTGAGGGGTTGACCAATGTTGTTACCTCAGTTAGCTCTACGGACTGGTACGACAGAAAGCTCAGCTAGGATGATGGCTCCACGAATAGCAGTAGCAACTTCTTTGCTGCACTTTAATCCCAAACCGATGTGGCGTTTGCTATCACCGATAGTTACGAAAGCCTTGATAGCTACGAAAGCCGTTGACCAACACGAGACTGTTTCTGAACGGGCTGATCTTTAAAACCTCATCATTCAGTTCTGACCCAATGAAGAAATCGATGATTTCACTTGGCAAAGAAAACAGGTAGATCTCCTCCTTTAGCGGAGATCTACTTGGTCTTCTTTTTCGCGATCAAAGCCTCTACCGCGTCCACGGCCACGACCTCTGGGGCCCCCTCGGCCACCATCTACCACCACCGAATCCACCACGGAAACCGCCACGACCACCGGCTGGAGCTGCGTCGGCCATTGTTTAATACTTCCTCTGACACTGCTGTCGAACGAAAGATATCGGAGGCACGTATACCAACATAATAAAAAAAAAATGACAATCGGAATCTCTAAACCCGTGAAATTTAAAGTCTTTCATTATTTTCTGAACATACCTCATACGCTCAAATAACTCCTCTAGTACTGGTATACTACACTAGTATAGATTCGCCTGAAGAATTTGTTGTATAGCGAAACACGTGTTGAGTTTTTGTAAAACTGTAAAACTGAAAATCTCACAACACGATGAGGTGTTTGTTGAATACGTTATGGATTTTAACACGCCTTTATTAGCTTTACCTGTATGTATGTATGTATGTTTGTTCGTTTGTTTATAACTCTCAAGCTCGGGTTCTGTATTTGACAGAATTATCGACATTATTGCTTGATCTATTCGCGGGTAGATGGCGCTGTAAGTTACCTCCTTGATATAATTCGAACTACAAACAATTCAATAAATGTGACTTTTTCTAGATTGATTTTGTATAATAACTGTGCTATCATAAAAATCAAATTGTTTTTTTTTCAAAACAAAGACCATCAACGGTCAGCTATAACCAATAAACCGATATTTGAATACTGAGGTCATTCCTATTATTTACTTTGTCGTAATCATAATCACAAAACGTGAAAAGATATTTCAAGGTCATGATTTAAGAACAAAGACTGAGACAAGGCCGTAAAACG